TGTTTACCTGTCTGGATGGTTTGTTTACCTGTCTGGTTGGTTTGTTTACCTGTCTGGATGGTTTGTTTACTTGTCTGGATGGTTTTTCTGGATGGTTTGTTTACCTGTCTGGATGGTTTGTTTACCTGTCTGGTGGTTTGTTTACCTGTCTGGATGGTTTTTATCTGGATGGTTTGTTTACCTGTCTGGATGGTTTGTTTACCTGTCTGGTGGTTTGTTTACCTGTCTGGATGGTTTGTTTACCTGTCTGGATGGTTTATCTGGATGGTTTGTTTACCTGTCTGGATGGTTTGTTTACCTGTCTGGTGGTTTGTTTACCTGTCTGGTGGTTTGTTTACCTGTCTGGATGGTTTGTTTACCTGTCTGGATGGTTTGTTTACCTGTCTGGATGGTTTGTTTACCTGTCTGGATGGTTTGTTTACCTGTCTGGTGGTTTGTTTACCTGTCTGGATGGTTTGTTTACCTGTCTGGATGGTTTTATCTGGATGGTTTGTTTACCTGTCTGGATGGTTTGTTTACCTGTCTGGTGGTTTGTTTACCTGTCTGGTGGTTTGTTTACCTGTCTGGATGGTTTGTTTACCTGTCTGGATGGTTTGTTTACCTGTCTGGTGGTTTGTTTACTGTCTGGATGGTTTGTTTACCTGTCTGGATGGTTTGTTTACCTGTCTGGATGGTTTGTTTACCTGTCTGGTGGTTTGTTTACCTGTCTGGATGGTTTGTTTACCTGTCTGGATGGTTTTATCTGGATGGTTTGTTTACCTGTCTGGATGGTTTGTTTACCTGTCTGGTGGTTTGTTTACTTGTCTGGATGGTTTGTTTACCTGTCTGGTGGTTTGTTTACTTGTCTGGATGGTTTGTTTACCTGTCTGGTGGTTTGTTTACTTGTCTGGATGGTTTGTTTACCTGTCTGGTGGTTTGTTTACCTGTCTGGATGGTTTGTTTACCTGTCTGGATGGTTTGTTTACCTGTCTGGTGGTTTGTTTACCTGTCTGGTGGTTTGTTTACTTGTCTGGATGGTTTGTTTACCTGTCTGGATGGTTTGTTTACCTGTCTGGATGGTTTGTTTACCTGTCTGGTGGTTTGTTTACCTGTCTGGTGGTTTGTTTACCTGTCTGGTGGTTTGTTTAGTTGTCTGGATGGTTTTATCTGGATGGTTTGTTTACCTGTCTGGATGGTTTGTTTACCTGTCTGGTGGTTTGTTTACCTGTCTGGTGGTTTGTTTACCTGTCTGGATGGTTTGTTTACCTGTCTGGTGGTTTGTTTACCTGTCTGGATGGTTTTTCTCTGGATGGTTTGTTTACCTGTCTGGATGGTTTGTTTACCTGTCTGGATGGTTTGTTACCTGTCTGGATGGTTTTATCTGGATGGTTTGTTTACCTGTCTGGTGGTTTGTTTACTGTCTGGATGGTTTGTTTACCTGTCTGGATGGTTTGTTTACCTGTCTGGATGGTTTGTTTACCTGTCTGGATGGTTTGTTTACCTGTCTGGTGGTTTGTTTACTTGTCTGGATGGTTTTATCTGGATGGTTTGTTTACCTGTCTGGATGGTTTGTTTACCTGTCTGGATGGTTTGTTTACCTGTCTGGTGGTTTGTTTACCTGTCTGGATGGTTTGTTTACCTGTCTTGTGGTTTGTTTACCTGTCTGGATGGTTTTATCTGGATGGTTTGTTTACCTGTCTGGATGGTTTGTTTACCTGTCTGGATGGTTTGTTTACCTGTCTGGATGGTTTTATCTGGATGGTTTGTTTACCTGTCTGGTGGTTTGTTTACTTGTCTGGATGGTTTGTTTACCTGTCTGGATGGTTTGTTTACCAGTCTGGATGGTTTGTTTACCTGTCTGGATGGTTTGTTTACCTGTCTGGTGGTTTGTTTACTTGTCTGGATGGTTTTATCTGGATGGTTTGTTTACCTGTCTGGATGGTTTGTTTACCTGTCTGGATGGTTTGTTTACCTGTCTGGTGGTTTGTTTACCTGTCTGGTGGTTTGTTTACTTGTCTGGATGGTTTTATCTGGATGGTTTGTTTACCTGTCTGGATGGTTTGTTTACCTGTCTGGTGGTTTGTTTACCTGTCTGGATGGTTTTATCTGGATGGTTTGTTTACCTGTCTGGATGGTTTGTTTACCTGTCTGGTGGTTTGTTTACCTGTCTGGATGGTTTGTTACCTGTCTGGATGGTTTTATCTGGATGGTTTGTTTACCTGTCTGGATGGTTTGTTTACCTGTCTGGATGGTTTGTCTACCTGTCTGGATGGTTTTATCTGGATGGTTTGTTTACCTGTCTAGTGGTTTGTTTACTTGTCTGGATGGTTTGTTTACCTGTCTGGTGGTTTGTTTACCAGTCTGGATGGTTTGTTTACCTGTCTGGATGGTTTGTTTACCTGTCTGGTGGTTTGTTTACTTGTCTGGATGGTTTTATCTGGATGGTTTGTTTAACTGTCTGGTGGTTTGTTTACCTGTCTGGATGGTTTGTTTACCTGTCTGGTTGGTTTGTTTACCTGTCTGGTTGGTTTGTTTACCTGTCTGGATGGTTTTATCTGGATGGTTTGTTTACCTGTCTGGATGGTTTGTTTACCTGTCTGGTGGTTTGTTTACCTGTCTGGTGGTTTGTTTACCTGTCTGGTGGTTTGTTTACCTGTCTGGTGGTTTGTTTACTTGTCTGGATGGTTTTATCTGGATGGTTTGTTTACCTGTCTGGTTGGTTTGTTTACCTGTCTGGATGGTTTTATCTGGATGGTTTGTTTACCTGTCTGGATGGTTTGTTTACCTGTCTGGTGGTTTGTTTACCTGTCTGGTGGTTTGTTTACCTGTCTGGTGGTTTGTTTACCTGTCTGGATGGTTTGTTTACCTGTCTGGTGGTTTGTTTACTTGTCTGGATGGTTTTATCTGGATGGTTTGTTTACCTGTCTGGATGGTTTGTTTACCTGTCTGGATGGTTTGTTTACCTGTCTGGTGGTTTGTTTACTTGTCTGGATGGTTTTATCTGGATGGTTTGTTTACCTGTCTGGATGGTTTGTTTACCTGTCTGGATGGTTTGTTTACCTGTCTGGTGGTTTGTTTACCTGTCTGGATGGTTTGTTACCTGTCTGGATGGTTTGTGGTTACCTGTCTGGATGGTTTGTTTACCTGTCTGGATGGTTTGTTACCTGTCTGGATGGTTTTATCTGGATGGTTTGTTTACCTGTCTGGTGGTTTGTTTACTTGTCTGGATGGTTTGTTTACCTGTCTGGATGGTTTGTTTACCAGGTCTGGATGGTTTGTTTACCTGTCTGGATGGTTTGTTTACCTGTCTGGTGGTTTGTTTACTTGTCTGGATGGTTTTATCAGGATGGTTTGTTTACCTGTCTGGTGGTTTGTTTACCTGTCTGGATGGTTTGTTTACCTGTCTGGTGGTTTGTTTACCTGTCTGGATGGTTTTATCTGGATGGTTTGTTTACCTGTCTGGATGGTTTGTTTACCTGTCTGGTGGTTTGTTTACCTGTCTGGTTGGTTTGTTTACCTGTCTGGTGGTTTGTTTACCTGTCTGGTGGTTTGTTTACTTGTCTGGATGGTTTTATCTGGATGGTTTGTTTACCTGTCTGGTTGGTTTGTTTACCTGTCTGGATGGTTTTATCTGGATGGTTTGTTTACCTGTCTGGATGGTTTGTTTACCTGTCTGGTGGTTTGTTTACTTGTCTGGATGGTTTTATCTGGATGGTTTGTTTACCTGTCTGGTTGGTTTGTTTACCTGTCTGGATGGTTTTATCTGGATGGTTTGTTTACCTGTCTGGTTTGTTTACCTGTCTGGTGGTTTGTTTACCTGTCTGGTGGTTTGTTTACCTGTCTGGATGGTTTGTTTACCTGTCTGGATGGTTTGTTTACCTGTCTGGTGGTTTGTTTACCTGTCTGGTGGTTTGTTTACTTGTCTGGATGGTTTTATCTGGATGGTTTGTTTACCTGTCTGGTTGGTTTGTTTACTTGTCTGGATGGTTTTATCTGGATGGTTTGTTTGCCTGTCTGGTGGTTTGTTTACTTGTCTGGATGGTTTTATCTGGTTGGTTTGTTTACTTGTCTGGATGGTTTGTTTACCTGTCTGGTGGTTTGTTTACTTGTCTGGATGGTTTTATCTGGATGGTTTGTTTACTTGTCTGGATGGTTTGTTTACCTGTCTGGATGGTTTGTTTACCTGTCTGGTGGATTGTTTACCTGTCTGGATGGTTTGTTACCTGTCTGGATGGTTTTATCTGGATGGTTTGTTTACCTGTCTGGATGGTTTGTTTACCTGTCTGGATGGTTTGTTTACCTGTCTGGATGGTTTGTTTACCAGGTCTGGATGGTTTGTTTACCTGTCTGGATGGTTTGTTTACCTGTCTGGTGGTTTGTTTACTTGTCTGGATGGTTTTATCAGGATGGTTTGTTTACCTGTCTGGTGGTTTGTTTACCTGTCTGGATGGTTTGTTTACCTGTCTGGTTGGTTTGTTTACCTGTCTGGATGGTTTTATCTGGATGGTTTGTTTACCTGTCTGGATGGTTTGTTTACCTGTCTGGTGGTTTGTTTACCTGTCTGGTTGGTTTGTTTACTTGTCTGGATGGTTTTATCTGGATGGTTTGTTTACCTGTCTGGTGGTTTGTTTACCTGTCTGGATGGTTTGTTTACCTGTCTGGTTGGTTTGTTTACCTGTCTGGATGGTTTTATCTGGATGGTTTGTTTACCTGTCTGGATGGTTTGTTTACCTGTCTGGTGGTTTGTTTACCTGTCTGGTTGGTTTGTTTACTTGTCTGGATGGTTTTATCTGGATGGTTTGTTTGCCTGTCTGGTGGTTTGTTTACTTGTCTGGATGGTTTTATCTGGTTGGTTTGTTTACTTGTCTGGATGGTTTGTTTACCTGTCTGGTGGTTTGTTTACTTGTCTGGATGGTTTTATCTGGATGGTTTGTTTACCTGTCTGGATGGTTTGTTTACCTGTCTGGTGGTTTGTTTACCTGTCTGGATGGTTTGTTTACCTGTCTGGTTGGTTTGTTTACCTGTCTGGATGGTTGCTCTGATCCTTCAGCCCTCGACCCGTCCCGCAGTACTCCCCGCTCTGGCTGTACACCTCCATGGTTCGAGCCTCGCTGATGACCAGCAGGCGGCTGATGGCAGAGGAGGCGGGGCTACATGTCAGCGTCAGGACACAAGGACCCCCGTCTTCTGTCTGCTCCAGCAGGACTGGGCTGCCCCTGTTAGGGCAGGAAGACTGTTCAAGGCCCCATCCGCCCAAAAACACCACGACCCCCTGACCCCACGACCCCATGAGCCCATGAGCCCATGACCCCCTGACCCCATGAGCCCATGACTCCCTCCCTGACCCCCTGACCCCATGACACCCTGACCACTGACCCCATGACCCCATGACCCCAAGGAAAGTTTGTAAACCTGCTCTTGTTATGTAACACATTTTAACTCGACCCCTCTTTGATCAGAGTTGGAGCAGAGTCCTGCATGTTGTCAGAGTCCTGCATGTTGATCAGAGTCCTACATGTTGTCAGAGTCCTGCATGTTGATCAGAGTCCTACATGTTGTCAGAGTCCTACATGTTGATCAGAGTCCTACATGTTGATCAGAGTCCTACATGTTGTCAGAGTCCTGCATGTTGATCAGAGTCCTACATGTTGATCAGAGTCCTACATGTTGATCAGAGTCCTACATGTTGTCAGAGTCCTACATGTTGTCAGAGTCCTACATGTTGTCAGAGTCCTGCATGTTGATCAGAGTCCTACATGTTGATCAGAGTCCTACATGTTGTCAGAGTCCTGCATGTTGATCAGAGTCCTACATGTTGATCAGAGTCCTACATGTTGTCAGAGTCCTGCATGTTGATCAGAGTCCTACATGTTGATCAGAGTCCTACATGTTGATCAGAGTCCTGCATGTTGTCAGAGTCCTACATGTTGATCAGAGTCCTACATGTTGATCAGAGTCCTGCATGTTGATCAGAGTCCTACATGTTGATCAGAGTCCTACATGTTGTCAGAGTCCTACATGTTGATCAGAGTCCTACATGTTGTCAGAGTCCTACTTGTTGATCAGAGTCCTGCATGTTGATCAGAGTCCTGTCTGTTGATCAGAGTCCTGCATGTTGATCAGAGTCCTACATGTTGTCAGAGTCCTGCATGTTGATCAGAGTCCTACATGTTGTCAGAGTCCTACATGTTGATCAGAGTCCTGTCTGTTGATCAGAGTCCTACATGTTGTCAGAGTCCTGCATGTTGATCAGAGTCCTACATGTTGTCAGAGTCCTACATGTTGATCAGAGTCCTACATGTTGATCAGAGTCCTACATGTTGTCAGAGTCCTACATGTTGATCAGAGTCCTGCATGTTGATCAGAGTCCTGCATGTTGATCAGAGTCCTACATGTTGTCAGAGTCCTACATGTTGATCAGAGTCCTACATGTTGTCAGAGTCCTGCATGTTGATCAGAGTCCTGCATGTTGATCAGAGTCCTGCATGTTGATCAGAGTCCTACATGTTGATCAGAGTCCTACATGTTGTCAGAGTCCTGCATGTTGATCAGAGTCCTGCATGTTGATCAGAGTCCTGCATGTTGATCAGAGTCCTGCATGTTGATCAGAGTCCTGTCTGTTGATCAGAGTCCTGCATGTTGATCAGAGTCCTACTTGTTGATCAGAGTCCTGCATGTTGATCAGAGTCCTGTCTGTTGATCAGAGTCCTGCATGTTGATCAGAGTCCTACATGTTGTCAGAGTCCTGCATGTTGATCAGAGTCCTACATGTTGTCAGAGTCCTACATGTTGATCAGAGTCCTGTCTGTTGATCAGAGTCCTACATGTTGTCAGAGTCCTGCATGTTGATCAGAGTCCTACATGTTGTCAGAGTCCTACATGTTGATCAGAGTCCTACATGTTGATCAGAGTCCTACATGTTGTCAGAGTCCTACATGTTGTCAGAGTCCTGCATGTTGATCAGAGTCCTACATGTTGTCAGAGTCCTACATGTTGTCAGAGTCCTACATGTTGATCAGAGTCCTACATGTTGATCAGAGTCCTACATGTTGTCAGAGTCCTACATGTTGTCAGAGTCCTACTTGTTGATCAGAGTCCTACATGTTGTCAGAGTCCTGCATGTTGATCAGAGTCCTACATGTTGATCAGAGTCCTACATGTTGTCAGAGTCCTACATGTTGATCAGAGTCCTACATGTTGATCAGAGTCCTACATGTTGTCAGAGTCCTACATGTTGATCAGAGTCCTACATGTTGATCAGAGTCCTACATGTTGTCAGAGTCCTACATGTTGTCAGAGTCCTGCATGTTGTCAGAGTCCTACATGTTGTCAGAGTCCTGCATGTTGATCAGAGTCCTGCATGTTGTCCTGCATGTTGATCAGAGTCCTACATGTTGATCAGAGTCCTACATGTTGATCAGAGTCCTACATGTTGTCAGAGTCCTACATGTTGTCAGAGTCCTGCATGTTGATCAGAGTCCTGCATGTTGTCCTGCATGTTGATCAGAGTCCTACATGTTGATCAGAGTCCTACATGTTGTCAGAGTCCTACATGTTGTCAGAGTCCTACATGTTGATCAGAGTCCTACATGTTGATCAGAGTCCTACATGTTGTCAGAGTCCTGCATGTTGATCAGAGTCCTGCATGTTGTCCTGCATGTTGATCAGAGTCCTACATGTTGATCAGAGTCCTACATGTTGTCAGAGTCCTGCATGTTGATCAGAGTCCTACATGTTGATCAGAGTCCTACATGTTGTCAGAGTCCTACATGTTGTCAGAGTCCTACATGTTGATCAGAGTCCTACATGTTGATCAGAGTCCTACATGTTGATCAGAGTCCTACATGTTGATCAGAGTCCTACATGTTGTCAGAGTCCTACATGTTGATCAGAGTCCTACATGTTGATCAGAGTCCTGCATGTTGATCAGAGTCCTACATGTTGATCAGAGTCCTACATGTTGTCAGAGTCCTACATGTTGATCAGAGTCCTACATGTTGTCAGAGTCCTACATGTTGATCAGAGTCCTGCATGTTGATCAGAGTCCTACATGTTGATCAGAGTCCTACATGTTGTCAGAGTCCTACATGTTGATCAGAGTCCTACATGTTGTCAGAGTCCTACATGTTGATCAGAGTCCTACATGTTGATCAGAGTCCTACATGTTGTCAGAGTCCTACATGTTGATCAGAGTCCTACATGTTGTCAGAGTCCTACATGTTGATCAGAGTCCTACATGTTGATCAGAGTCCTACATGTTGTCAGAGTCCTACATGTTGATCAGAGTCCTACATGTTGATCAGAGTCCTACATGTTGATCAGAGTCCTACATGTTGTCAGAGTCCTACATGTTGATCAGAGTCCTACATGTTGTCAGAGTCCTACATGTTGATCAGAGTCCTGCATGTTGATCAGAGTCCTACATGTTGATCAGAGTCCTACATGTTGATCAGAGTCCTACATGTTGTCAGAGTCCTACATGTTGATCAGAGTCCTACATGTTGATCAGAGTCCTGCATGTTGATCAGAGTCCTACATGTTGATCAGAGTCCTACATGTTGATCAGAGTCCTACATGTTGATCAGAGTCCTACATGTTGATCAGAGTCCTACATGTTGATCAGAGTCCTGCCTGTTGATCAGAGTCCTGCATGTTGATCAGAGTCCTACATGTTGTCAGAGTCCTGCATGTTGATCAGAGTCCTACATGTTGTCAGAGTCCTACATGTTGATCAGAGTCCTGCATGTTGATCAGAGTCCTACATGTTGTCAGAGTCCTACATGTTGTCAGAGTCCTACATGTTGATCAGAGTCCTACATGTTGATCAGAGTCCTACATGTTGTCAGAGTCCTACATGTTGATCAGAGTCCTACATGTTGTCCTGCATGTTGATCAGAGTCCTACATGTTGATCAGAGTCCTACATGTTGTCAGAGTCCTGCATGTTGATCAGAGTCCTACATGTTGATCAGAGTCCTACATGTTGTCAGAGTCCTACATGTTGATCAGAGTCCTACATGTTGATCAGAGTCCTACATGTTGTCAGAGTCCTACATGTTGATCAGAGTCCTACATGTTGATCAGAGTCCTACATGTTGTCAGAGTCCTACATGTTGATCAGAGTCCTACATGTTGTCAGAGTCCTACATGTTGATCAGAGTCCTACATGTTGATCAGAGTCCTACATGTTGTCAGAGTCCTACATGTTGTCAGAGTCCTACATGTTGATCAGAGTCCTACATGTTGTCAGAGTCCTACATGTTGATCAGAGTCCTACATGTTGTCAGAGTCCTACATGTTGTCAGAGTCCTGCATGTTGATCAGAGTCCTACATGTTGATCAGAGTCCTACATGTTGATCAGAGTCCTACATGTTGTCAGAGTCCTACATGTTGTCAGAGTCCTACATGTTGTCAGAGTCCTACATGTTGATCAGAGTCCTACATGTTGATCAGAGTCCTACATGTTGTCAGAGTCCTGCATGTTGATCAGAGTCCTACATGTTGATCAGAGTCCTACATGTTGTCAGAGTCCTACATGTTGATCAGAGTCCTACATGTTGATCAGAGTCCTACATGTTGATCAGAGTCCTACATGTTGATCAGAGTCCTACATGTTGTCAGAGTCCTACATGTTGTCAGAGTCCTGCATGTTGTCAGAGTCCTACATGTTGTCAGAGTCCTGCATGTTGATCAGAGTCCTGCATGTTGTCCTGCATGTTGATCAGAGTCCTACATGTTGATCAGAGTCCTACATGTTGATCAGAGTCCTACATGTTGTCAGAGTCCTACATGTTGTCAGAGTCCTGCATGTTGATCAGAGTCCTGCATGTTGTCCTGCATGTTGATCAGAGTCCTACATGTTGATCAGAGTCCTACATGTTGTCAGAGTCCTACATGTTGATCAGAGTCCTACATGTTGTCAGAGTCCTACATGTTGATCAGAGTCCTACATGTTGATCAGAGTCCTACATGTTGTCAGAGTCCTGCATGTTGATCAGAGTCCTACATGTTGTCCTGCATGTTGATCAGAGTCCTACATGTTGATCAGAGTCCTACATGTTGTCAGAGTCCTACATGTTGATCAGAGTCCTACATGTTGATCAGAGTCCTACATGTTGATCAGAGTCCTACATGTTGTCAGAGTCCTACATGTTGATCAGAGTCCTACATGTTGATCAGAGTCCTACATGTTGATCAGAGTCCTACATGTTGATCAGAGTCCTACATGTTGTCAGAGTCCTACATGTTGATCAGAGTCCTACATGTTGATCAGAGTCCTACATGTTGATC